GGTTGAAAAATACTGTAATCGTGCGAAAGTTTCAGATCTGAAAACGGTTCTGGTGCGATGTGTGGGCTGGGAGCTTATCCTTTAATAGCGACGTCTCACCTCATGAATATTAAAATAGTAATGAATGCACTGAAAAGCCCTCGCGCTACTCATATACATTTTGCGTCAGATATCAACGCAGAGAGAGAGTATAAAGACAGTAGAGCTGCACGAATAATCTTAAAAAGATCTCGATCCCGATTCAAACACCCACGTGATCTTATTCTTATAAAATGACAAAAACTTCACACCGGCACATTCAAATCTGTTTTGAATGTCTGTCAAATCTGTCAAAACACAGTCTTTTCAACCACACAGTATCAATATTTCTGTGTTACAAATATTCAAACGATCACATAAGTACTGAGATAAGTTTGTAGTTCGAGTAGAAACACTGATGTCTACGGTCAACCAAAACCTATTGAAAGTCGCTGCCTTCAAATAACGAGTGTATCGATTACATCTGATGCTTCAAAACATTCATAAACATTCAGTTTTTTGTGTTAAAGGGGTCATATAATGCCATTTTCATACAAGTTAATTTGATTCTTTAGGGTCTAAATGAAAAGTTTGTAATATACTTTAATTAAAAATTCTCATTAGTATTGTAAGAAAACACTCATTTTAACTGGTCAAAAACAGCTCTGTTTTCAGCACGCCGTTTCAGTGCATATGCCTTTAAATGATCATGAGCTTCGCTCACTCCGCCCCTCTGTTCTGCGGGCGTTTTGACACAATGCACATGGAGTGTTGCCTTGACAACAGTTGAGGATATATTTTGGAGAAAGAATGGCAGCGGGAGTCTCTGAGGACACATCTGTGCAACCACATCAGTTTGAACCGGAGTCGGACCCAGAACAAGATGACGGCCGCAAAGAAGTTAGACAATTAAGGCTCGAACAGGACGTTTCTGAATGGTTGGTTAACATAATGTAACTTTGATCTATCTTTGTTTACTGGCAGGGTAGAGTAACTTAGTGAGATGTACGAACGCTATGCGTTTACTGATGTATAAGTACGTACTCAGTTTGTAATAACACAATAACCATAACGCGTTGTTCATTATAAACGTGGGATTATGAATTATATTGAGAACGTCGTACATAGAAAACATGCTGTAATGTACCCTGAGTGTAAACCTTAGCCGCATTCATCGTGAAGCGTGCAAGCAATTTGCAAAGATTAATATAAAAGGTTAATAAAACTTTACACTCACTTCTTCTGGAGGTGCAGCAGGGACACGAATAGTTGGTACCGATTCTTTTTTTTTAGGAGCAGCTTCTTAGCAAAACCAGCTTTATACTGATCCTCGTTTATAAAGCAGTCTGCGAAAAGATTCGCGAATCGCGCAAACATGAAAGCATTGACGTTGCTCGTGGGGAATATTCCCTTCGAAAACAAAACTCAGCCACTGTGTCTTCAGCGGTTCAGATTTAGGAACATCAAAATGACTGCTGTGTTTGTTATTACACCCAAGAACAGAACACCACAATCGCTTAGACGCCATTCTGCTCCAGCGTATCAACAATGCCGGACTATGATGACAGCTCGCTCAGTGCGGGTCTCTGTTGAAACGCTGCTGTCAATCAACAATCGTGGGAGGGGCGTCCGACTGTGTGACGTCACACGGTCGAACGGCTCGATTTGAGGCAGGGTAAAACATATAAGGAGATTAAAACAAAAACACTGGATAGATTTTTATCATTATATGATGGTTGTGTACAGGCACTGCCAACACAAATTTCAGTACAATCAACTTGAAAAAGTGCATGTACTATTATATGACCCCTTTAAGAATTCACAAAATTTATATAATGAGCGAGTACATCATGAATGCCTTTTTTCAAACCGTGTTTTTGTATTATTATCCTGAATCACTACGGTAAGCCTGTAATCAAAATCCAATTTATATTATTTTTGCAAAAATTGCTAAATAATTAATATGTTGAATTTGTTGACATTACCAGTCTGTTAAACTCATTTGACAAGTATAAGAAATAAACACAAAAAGGATTGTGCATTTTTCCCTTACTACTATTTTTTAATTAGTTGTTTTAATAATTTTTATTGAATGGGAACCGTAACCGAAACCCGGAATCGTTTGGCGGAATCGGAATCGATTCCCAACCCCTAAAGCAAAATGTAATTTCTTAAGTTTAAACTTTTTCATTGATTCAGTCACACCACGCTAGAAATTGAGCATTTCATAAGATCTGCAATATAGACATCCTAACTTCATCATGATAATCCAACAAACATAAATTATGATTATGCAATCATGGTCAAGAAACATCAGGAAATACAAACACTTAAAGAATTAGTCACATTCAAGCAAATGCTGATTGATTATTCTCATAATTTTGTCTTTGGACAGGCTAAATTAAAGGCCCAAAAATATCTGGCTGCAGTCTCTGGGGTCTAAAGCATTACAGGACCTTGACTGGGTTTCACTACAGTTATGAGGTGAGCTCACCATTCAGAAAGACAGAGAAAAGCACATTCTGGAGGAGGAGACAGGCTGTCTTCTCTGTCCATCACATCAGGCTCATGTTACACATAAAAACACAACAAATGCAGGGATTCATGAGGGAGAGAGAAGCTTTCCCCATGCAGTAAGACAGACAGGCTGCAAAAAGTCAAGATGGACCCTGGAACAGATAGGCTATGAGTAATTCAACCCCTTAAGTCACACAAAGAGGCCTCTGAGTCTCTGAGCCAGAAATCCAGACTGAATTCTTTTAGCACTTGTTCCATTGATTGATTCAGAAAGCTGCCAATATACCCTAGACACTCCTGTGAGACAGAAGCGGCTCTGAGGTCTCTTAAACATGGCAATCAACAATTGGCTCAAACATGAGATCACAAATCAAATCTATTTTTACCTACAAATTTCCTCATTTCATCAGAACAAGAGACAAATTGATTTGTGAAAAAGTGATTTTTATAAAAAATTGTCACTGTCGGGCAGAAACCTCGAATCTCATTTTCATTTCATGTCAATTTTTTTCATATTACTATTGGTTATGCTTTACATCTGTCAATGGGTTTTGCAAATATTTAACCAATGAAAAGCATTTAAAAAAAAGCTTCTGACTAAAGCTCGTAACTCCATTGGATCCTCAAACTGTCTGTAAAACCTCCTAACTCCACCCTGCCTCAATAGTGAATGAAGTGCTGCACACATTTTGGACTGTCTCTGCATGTTTGCAATGCAAGGGTAAATAAAGAACTGGTTGTTTGAATAAGTACAGTGTTTTCTTTACTCAAGAAACACTATAATATACAAGGCTAACGTTTTATGTATTTGAGAAGCGGAGAAGAGTCTTAAGGCCCCAATATACTTCAAGCGAAATTAAAGAATAAACTTGTGTAATGTCATTTCTAACAAAACCAGGCCAAAGCAAAGATTGTTTGGTGTTCATTTCTGGAGTTTGAAACAGCTTGCCAATAAACGCCTTCAAATTACCATTATTGGCGATTACGTAATAGGTAAGTGTGCTCTGAAGCTCCGCCTTCTTTAACATGGACATTTTCTCTGGTTCATTTCTTCTGTTTAGGGAGTAAAAACATGAACACACTGGAAAGTCACTTTATAGTAGAACTATAGCCGCGTTTCCACCGCAGGAACTTTCCCCAGGAACTAGGAACTTTGGGGTGGTACTCCGTGTGTTTACACCGCAGGAACCAGGGTCTAAATGAAGTTCCGGGTAAAAATTTCCCCCCCAGAAAGTCCCTGCTGGCGAGGTAGTACTTTTTCAGAGTTCAGGAACTTTCGGGGTGGGACTTGTGCGCTGAACATGCTGATTGGTTCTTACCTTGTTCTCTCTGCCGGATGGCGCGCGTTCGTCCCATCCATCTCACGGTCATGTCCGCTATAGCTGATAACAAACGTTGTGTCTATCTAGCATTACGAGCTTTCTGAAATGAATACGCTTTGGTATTAGTGTCCATCTCTTTTCTGCCGTTTTGTTAATTACCTCGTTAGTAAACCAATAGATCGCACACAAAAGCAGCACAGCTTGAATCTCCTCAATACTTAAAACTCAAAACAAGTACGCGCAGACTGGGAGGAGCAGTCGCACGCAGTTCAACGTCACCAGACTAATCTTCCCGGTACTTTAGTCCACGGTGTAAACGCAGTGAGCAACCGTTCTGGGGCAAAAACAGTTCCTATGAAAAAAGTTCCTGGGACAAATAGTTCCTGGTAATTGCGGTGGAAACGCGGCTTTTGTAATTCTAATTGAAAGAGACACTGTGACTGCGAGTTTTCTCACCACTGTCATTTTTGTTGTGTTTATTTTGTTATTGAAAGGAAAGTGCGCAGCACATATTTACATCACAGCATGGGCAACATAAGGATGTTCGCTAACAGAATACCGCTTCTCACACAATCTTTTCTACCCTAAACTAAGAACAAAAAGAACTTTGCCATAAGTATATCGGGGCCGTTAATCTATCATTTAGTCTAGTCTATTCCTTGTGTGTGCAAGCACACTTGGCAATAAAGCTCTTTCTGATTCGGATTCATTTGTCAGAGTCATAGCCAGTAGCACTTCATTTTTTGTACCATGAGATTTGGGCCAAATAGCTTCCACATAGGTATAAACTTTATAACCTGTTAATGCCTCACATGTGGCCATTCTAATGACGGACAATTTTTATTTTATTTTTATGTCACACCTAAAATATATTAAATATGATAAAAGACAGTTCTAGTGCAGGTGAATATATTGCTCGTAGAGCAAGTAAAAATCTGAACTACCGACTCTGCCGACTGGCAGAAAAAAAAGTATCTATTGTTAAGCCCAGAAATTAAAGATGGATAAACAAGAGTAGCATCTGAAACTGATTTTGGAATTGCTGGAGAACATGAAGTTCTTCTAGATGTTTTTGAAGAAAGGAATAAGTGTTATAACTGTCCAGATCAACTGCATTTGTGTACTTGGTCAGCTGGGTCCTACCTTAACATCTGCGGTGACTCCATCCTCAGTGGTGCTCTGTCCATTCTAAAAGAGAACAGAAAGAGATTTATTAATACATACGCAGTACTACTTTGGACAATACTACTCTTCTTTTAATACTTTCCATATATTAAAATAATAGCACTAGCTATCAAAACATGAGTGTGCGCATGTGTGCATGCATGTACTTGAAGGCTCACAGCTGTAATGTCAAAATCATAAATGCATGTTATGTCTAGATGACATAATCAATGGCTCCCGGCCCGGGGCATTTATACAGGCTTGGTTGCTTATATAGACTCACATACACACTCTCTTTCTGTCAATGTGCTTGAGCATCTGTTCTGCCCACAAGCTGGATCTTCAGATGTAATTCTATAACACAGATTTCACTGTACAACATTAATAAAGGACATTTACATTTTTTCAGATTGGTTGACTGTTGATAAACAACATGCAGTACAAATCTTGCACTGCACAATTTTTGCCAGGACTAAAACAGGCTTTAATCAAGGGTTTAAATAGGTCCAGAGTTAAGAACAGTGTAAAAAGGCTTACAGAGGACCAGGAAAAAGACCGAGTACATGTCTGGGAACTGTATCTAATGTTAGACGACCAACATTGAGGCCCAATAATAAAAATTCAGATGAGATGAGAGCAATCCACAACCCACTAAGAATCCAAATACATGTAAAATAGATACAAATACTGTAAAACATGTAGACAAGCCTTTCTCGTGTGCATATCCCCTTTATTTCCCCCCCGAGGAGAAGAATTTACCTGACTAGTTGATCTCGGCTAAACATGAACAGTTTCTTTATTTATTAAAGCACAATGGAATTCTGTAAGTCTCTACCTCACAAACAAACTATTTATATAGGCTATGTAAAGGCAAAGAGAGAATGTGTGTCATGTCTCATGTTTATTCGTTTTTGTCTGTAGAATTACCAGCATCAGCATGCCAACTGATTTCTGCAGTCCTAACGTTGAATTCTCTCAAGAACCATCAGAAAAACACAATCACATCCTGCACAGGCGATTGCTTTCAATTTCATTCAATACAGAACCTTGAGCAAGAAGAGAAGGAAATGAAAGAGACAAAAATAAAAAATAAAAGAATTGGAAGGAAGAAGGGTGGTGATGGCGCAGTGGATCAGACACATGCCTTTGGTGTGAGAGACCTGGGTTCGAATCCACTGTGAGACACCAATGTGTCCCTAGTTGCTCCAGAGGCGTGCGACCTCTGACATATATAGCAATTGTAAGTCGCTTTGGATAAAAGCGTCAGCTAAATGAATAAATGTAAATGTAAGAAAACAATTCTGCCTGCTCAGAGAAAAACAAAAAACAGACAAAGATCAAGAATTCATCACATGCAAAGTCGGAGCTTAGTTTTTTTATGCTGGCTTCAGATCGATTCACTCAAGTGCTCTGGAAGTTAAGACGACTCGTCTTATAAAAGCTCCAGTTTACCGTCAATGTAATTATAATTCAAATATAATTCAATGTGAATTTCTTTCTTCTACTGAACACAAAATATGATATTTTGAAGAATATGGGTACGTTGATGGTCCCTATTGACTTTCATAGTATGAAAAAAATGTAAATACTGTGGAAGTCAATGGGCCTATCTGTTTGATTACCCATATTCTTCAAAATATCTTCTTTTGTGTTCAACAGAAGAAAGAAATTCATACAGGCTTGGAACAACTTTAGGGTGAGTAAATGACAGAATTTTCATTTTTGAGTGAGCTATCCCTTTAAAGATTATGTTAAAGTACTTGAGCTTAACTGCAAAAACAATATAAAATAATCAATCCTTAAGGTTTACTCAGGAGAAAAGTTTAAAAATACTTGGCCTTATCAAAACACTGAGCACCTTGACCAATGGCGCGAGTTTGGGGCGAGACTATCTACCAAACAATAGAAGATAAAGACAGCCATTATTTTTGCAATTTTGTTTCATTATGCTAGCAGCACAGAAATAACACGTGTCTGCTTATATAACTCAGTTCATACAAGAACTGATATGTTGCTTACGTCATTTGCTTTGCTTAAATCATTAACGGACTGTGTCAAAGTGATCTGTGAACACCTGTGATACTAATGAAACTGATAAGGGAATATGATATGAGCTGTGCTTAATTAATGCACACATTTAACGCATTCAACATTTTGATCAATCCAGCTTATTGAAATATTTACAATACAAGATGTACATTTGATAGATAGTGTTAGATAGCAGCTCCTTCAACAAAGAGAATGAAAGAGAGAAATTCGTAGCTAATTTACTTATCAATTTGTTTTACTTTTTTGTGCATCTCTCTGACCTTTCATATCTCGAAACGGAAACATAAAATATCAGCTGCATGCGTTTCCTTTCAGGATATTATCTCATGAGGTTAAAAGGACAAACGGAATAGAGCTTCAGCGCAACTTCTGGTTTTCTAGAAAAACAAACTATTATTCACATAATATACAATAAAACACACACACAGTCAGAGAGCAAGGAGTTTGAGTGTATGTAAAATGCACTAAAGTAAAAACACAACATAACAGCCTTTTGATCAGGGCCGCTGATCACACATGACCCTGAAACTCTTTTCCTGAAAACACAATGCAAATGAAAGTGATAAAAGAGCTGTCTGCAAAAAATGTACATCATCTCTCTCATAATGTGACCCTGTTACAGAAATAGTATGTACTGAGTAATTGGGACCAAACTGTTCCTCGGAGAGGTCAGAGAAAGTAAGTGTTAGTGTGTGTGTTTCAGATATACCCTTTGTTATGGGGACAAAATGTCCCCAAAAAGATGGCAATATCCAAAATCCTTGTGGGGGCATTTTTTGGTTAACCTTGGGGGGCATTTTTATAACAAGTGATGTTTTTTGAAAATGTAAAAAATGCAGAAAGTTTTCTGTGATGGGTAGGTTTAGAATTAAAATCATTTGTTTGTATAAAAATCATTATGTCTATGGAATGTCTCCATAAAACATGAAAACACAACACGTGCATGCGTGCGTGAGAAAAAAGGAAAAAGAGATGTGAAAGGAAATAAAAGGGTTGAATTTTCGAGTGACTTGGCAATCATGAAACAAGTGCATGACAGGAGAGAACAGTTGCAAAACAAACAAACAAAAAAAAGGAGGAAAGGAAAGGGAAATGCCTTTTGTTGTTAAGATCAAAAATTTAATGTCCAACCAAACTCTAATACTTTTTTATTGCAAATTCATCAGCCACTTGGAAGAAGCTAGTCAAATCAGACAGATGCTAACATGGAAATTCACTGAGACCCAAAAACCATGAACAAAACTACATTTGAATAAAGGTTCCCTTGAAAGGATATGTTTTTTGTTGAGCACAATGTGTTTTGTGAGTTAATTACTGGCTATTAAGAACATTAAAAAAAATCAAGAGACTTTTAGAAATGCCAATTTTCCTATTCAGTCTGTCATGTTAATGGTTCAATGTTTGATTTTAAAGACCTTTTTTCTACCTTTGTCAGTCGGGTCTCGCCACTTGTGGAAATCTGGTTAAAACTAATTGAGAACCACAGATAGAAAACCTACAGTGTTTTACAGTCCACTGATCAAGGCCTGACAAGTTTTCCGGCAAATGTTTTAGCGTATCTATCTGTATCTGACGTACCGTGTGTGACGTTCCGTAAACTCACACGCAATGAGAGAGAGAGCGAGCGAGAGTCTCACAAAATCGACGCGCTACATGTAAACAATATTCTTGTTTGTATTTTCCTGTCAAAATAACGGAGTTCATCTGGAATTATTCAGCTTTTAAGAAGATATGCCGGTTTCTCCGGAGTGGGCAATCTCATTGGCTGGCGCTCATCCCTGTTTAAATTTCAGCAAATCAGTTCGAGCGAACGCTGACAACATGATTAACAATCATGAACCCAGCAGCTCATGTGTTGTATATTGTCATTATTAGTTGTAGAATTAGTAGTAGGATTATTATCTTTTAATAATAATTACTATTATGAATTAGCCTACTATTATCTTTTTTTTTTTTTTACAGAAACACTGAATGACCAACAATATTTTAAGCACCACCACCAGTCCAAAGTTCAGTTAAAATGATAAATATGATTATCAAGTTTTAGTTCTAATTACTAAAGTTCTCTCATTAAATAATGATTGATTATCATAATATAATGCTTGATGGACTGATTTTAAGAGTGTACATTTAGATATTTAAAAAGCGGTGCCATTTTACAAAGATAAGCTGATTTGGTGGAATTATATATAAAATAGTATATCAGTCTGGCGAGTAACCAAAACAATTTAGCCAATGGCGATTATATTGCCAAGGTGTGCATAGAGGGTTGGTATCACACTATTTTTAGAGAAAGGACATTGAAATGCAACTATAGGCCATTATGTAGTCTCAACTTTAACCTACTGTACAGATCAGGTGATGCTGTTTGGATATACCAAGTTAGGGGAAAGAAATGAAATGGAAAGCAAGTAAAATAGGGCAAGTAAAGGAAGGAAAATGATAAATAAAAGGAAGAAAATAAAGTAAATAAATAAATAAAGTCAGAATTGTCAACTTGCGGATGATTTAGGCATTTGACACACAAAACATTTGTGTCTAATTCAGTGTCAAACCTGACAGGCGTGCAAGACTGCATTGTAAAGCGTTGTACAAGACTGAAAGACAATGGATGTGGCACAAAGACGAAGGTCTGACAGAATGTGTGTGGCCCGGTTAAAAGAAAGGAAACAGAAAGCAGGAGCGATGGGGATAAAGAAAAGTTAGACACAGAGAGATAAGTGGAAAGGAAGACAAAGAAATGACAGAAGAATCCAATCATGAATGAAACCACAAATTAATCATTAAAACTCTCTGATGAATTAAAGATAAACGTTCAATACTTTCAAAGAGCGAGACTTTAGAAGAGTGGGATTTCAAAAAATAGATGACAGAAAGAAATTCGACTTTTAGTTCAGAGTTCCGGATCACATCATCTCCATATTCCCAGCCATCATGCGCTGCTATGACTTCTCATGTTTCAGACCGCTGCACAAACCGACAGCCGAGACCGGAAACACAAAACTTAAACATCTGATATTCCCGACGGAACATATGCTGAAAGGATGTGGCGTTGTGTGTGTGGTATTTACAAAGATGCAAGAACAAAAAAAGCAAGCGGAAGAAATCTGACTGAATTTAATTCATATTCTATTAGAATATTCTTTTAGAACTGAAAGTGAACATCTAGAGCAGAGAACATCTGATCAACGCACGTGATGTGATGTTTGAATTCTGTTGTGGATCCATCTCAGTTTAAAGATAACCTCGTAAAACACAGTCAAACTGGCTCTTCCGAGTGAAACATAAACCCTCCCTGTGGGACAGACAGGGCCTCATACACTGTGATATAACGTCAAACAGCTTCCAGCAAATCTGGGAGGCTCCCGGGTTCACAGGAATACATTTTCCGGTGAAGGAGTGAGAACAGAACTCGTGACTCCTGGAGCTCACAGAACGCCTGTCCTTTAATGGAAGAATACAGCCTCAAATATTTTCCGTTGTTCTCCAAACTTTGGAGGAAGTCCTTGTTGAACAGGCTCCAGGTTTCATGTAGCTGCAGGGTATTGTAATAATAATCCCAACCATTATGCAGTAGGTATGATTACAAACACACATCACTGCTGAAACCCAGAGAGCACACAGCCATCAAAGACGTGAACAGCAGGTGCTCTGAGCAAAACCTCAACAAAATATTAGGACAGCCCCGACAAAAGATTTTTCATTTAAGCACTAATCAACTAGTCGCACGATTATGATATTAATTTAATTAGGCTACATTAAATATATATATAGCTACTGTCTGGAGGGCTGAGAAAGAATATTATACATAGCAAAAGGGAAGATATTTTCTCTAGTCAGGTAGCAATGAATTCAAAAAAGAGACATCTAGTGCAGCCAAGTTTTACTGAAAGCCCATTTTTCCAGTGGTGAAGTACCCCTTTAAATTCAACTGTAACAATGATAACCTGATACTTGCTGATGATTCTGTTTGCATGGTCATATACTAAAGAACACTTCTGTTGCAACTAATGCAACTTCTGTTTATCTAGAGTTTATTTATTTATTCATCTTAAATAATGCAAAAAAACATTTACATGGCTGGTAAGAATCAAGCCCAATTTACTCACTAATGGCAGGTGTGCAAGTGTTACATTTGGACTCTGCCTGCACATTTATCCGGCATCTTGTATCTCCAAACAATGCGTGTTTGGAGGCTTTTGTCTTTAATCACTGCAAGTATGTAAAAACTGCCAGTGAAAACTGTCAAGGATGAAGCATGAAGTTGAAAATGACTGGTTTGACATCATGTGCATGTTTTGGTCTAGTCTGCATCAGGAAGCACTTTAAGGTCTTGTGGTACTTGCTGATACGCTGTAGTAAGATTCTAATCAGTACAGTTATTCTGCAAAATTTTTGAAATCTAGATTCATTTCTCCTCTCTTTTTCATCTGCAGAAAGAATTTCATCCAAAGTACTGAGAAGAATTGAGAATGTTTCTGCAGCGAACCGGCTGTCGCCTGATTGGTGAACCTATTACAGTGGTGAGCGACCAGAAGGCAAGGAAAAAGGAAAGTTAATTTAAGATCTAAATTGCACAGATTACAACGACAGGAACAAAAGACTAAATAACACGTCTCATATTGCTATTCTCAAAAGAAATCAGCATTAGTCTGAGAGCAAGATAAGAAACGAAATCTTCCTTCCATTCTCATTAATCATGGACTTCACAGGCCATATTGTCTCTGCTTGCCCTGTAGTTATAAGATTGGTCTCCAGCCAAAGCTGGTGGAGCAAATTCCAGTGCTGTACAATGCAAGGGCCTGAAAGTTTACTGTAGTACAACACTGACATTAACTAGGAGTTTTTAGCACACTGTGGTCTATGATCAAAAGATATGATTCCTCAAACCAACGTATCTGAATGTAACATGCAAACGAAAAGGAAATGAAAAGAGCTCACTGTATGAAAGCTGCATAACAGGAGAGCAGCTTATAGTATACTACAGATACCAGTGGATTATTACAAACATGTAGCTGTTATTGGGATTCACCATGATGTATTTTAAAGCAAAAACATAAATGCAAATAAAGCAACAGTTTTGTCCCATACGCCACAATGACTCATATAGGCCGGGTTTTACAGACAGGGTTTAGATTAAGCCAGGACTAGGCCTTAGTTTAATTAAGAAGCTTAAGACGTTTTTGTAAACGTGTCATAGAAAAAGACATTACTGGTGTGCATCTTGAGACAAAACAATGGCACTGACATATTTTAAGATGTCAGTGCAAGTTGCTTTTAGTTAAAACAGCACAAACATGCATTTTAGTCTGGAACCAGCTTAAGCCTTGTCTGTGAAACCAGGGGTTATAATAAAATGGTAGATAGGCTTGACAATTTTGCAATTCATTTATCCATTTCTAGCCTACTGACCAAGGTCATGACACTACAAGGTGGTCATTAGAAGAAAATTTTAAGGAATAGTTCACTTAAAAATGAAAATTCTGTCATAATTTACTCACCCTTAAGTTTATTCAAACCTGCATGAATTTCTTTCTTCTGCTGAACGTAAAGGAAAATATTTTGAAGAATGTCGGTAACCAGACAGTTGATGGACCCCATTGACTTCCATAGTAGGAGAAAAAAATACTATGTAAGTCAATGGGGTCCATCAACTGTTTAGTTACTGACACAAGATCTTCTTTTGTGTTCAGCAGAAGAAAGAAATTCATACAGGTTTGAAACAACTTGAGGGTGAGTATGTGATGACATAATTTTCATTTTTAAGTGAACTGTTTATTTAATGTTGATATATTGTTCACTGTGCACACTCATTGTAAAAGGGTTGATTACGTAAAATCATCTGAATCAAACTAAATATTAAAGTAAAATGATAAACAAAATACACTATAGAGAGAGAGACACTTGTCCTTGAATCTTGAAAGAATTATGTTTTTAATTGAATTGTAAATTATTTTAATGACAGTTATGATGATAAAACGGCTGCTGCATATAACCATGTCAAAGCTTAAAAAGAGCTTTCATTTTCTTAATATATTATTTTATATTTTGGGACTTTTTACAAAAATCAAACCGTGCATATGCATTGCAGAAGTTGGAAACAGTGCTAGGGACAGGCCAAAACATGCATCCATAAATAATCGATTGTCTATTGAAAAATGTCTATTATACGTTATAGTAAAAGTTAGTGACAGTTTTTTATTGTTAAAAACATTGATCTAGGCACCTTTTCGTGGAATGACCCTTCAGCGTTACAAAACATCTCACCAGCGCTACTTCAGCGCGGCGCGTCATGCTCGCGCTCCAAAAGAACACTGAGTCAAGTCTGCAAATACCTGCAGAACTCTGCAACAGTGTTTAGTTTTTTGTTTTTTTTCTCATTTCACTATAAAGTTTCACATTTTTATACGATTGCTGTAATTCTCGTGAACTCCACATGACAGACACGTGGACCTCTAGCACGGATAGAGGAACCTTGAGGACTCATTAAATCAGTTCATTTTAGTGCTGTGATTTCACCACCTCTCACCTCTGTCTCCAACTGCACCAGCTCCATTTTGGGCCATGGTTCTGCCAGTTGAGCAAGTGGCATTTTGTGCTTCTTCTGTCTTTCCCCAAGTACTCAAATTTGGACGGGAATTTCTTCCGAACCCGCGTATTCCCTGCTGGAACGAGCAGACCAGTCTCTTTGGATCAGGACCAAACGTGCGACTAAGTTCGTCTCTTATAATCCGCACAGGACGCGCATAATAATCACTCCGTCGAAAAACCAAAGCCGTTATTCCCGTAGATGACTAGGACGGATTCTCCTCGCGGTCCTGTGTGGAAGAAGACTTGCACAGCCCCGTTCCTGGAAATGAACAAATCTCTCCCCCTCACACATACACACAGGTGGACTCGGGTTTAGAGGGACATGCGCTGTGCGTCTGCAGCGATGGAACGCGTCTCCTCCGAGGAAATGAGATTAAATATGTTTTTGCAATGCGGTGGAAAGTGTCTGCTGACACTGACTATCGGTGTGCACACACACAGACGCAGAAAGAGGAGCCGATGCTGTCAGCGTGTTCCACTCTGAACGGGATCCACAGTGTAAAAGCGCACGAGCTTCTCGTCCAGCCCCTTTGTCCTACTCCTCTACTGACGCCCCTCTCTGGACACTTACTGATACTGCAAGCTTTCAGTTGCATGGATATCTTGACACAGGGTTAGTGGAACGTAGTTTGCTACATTTAAAGCTTATGTAACTTATTTTTTAATACCAACAACAAAATGTTATTACTGAAAAGGTGCAAAGAAAAATCCATCTTCTAAACCATGTCTTTACTTTACCCAAATAGATGACAATATCCCCCGGTTTCACAGATTAAGCTTAAGATAGTCCTAGAAGAAATTGATGTTTGAGCTGTTTAACCTAAAGCAACTTGCTCTGAGATATCTTAAAAATATGTCAGTGCCATTGTTTTGTCTCAAAATGGACACCAGTAATGTTTTTTTTTTTTCAAAGGTGCATTTTCAAAAGCTACTTAAATGTCCTAATTGATCAAATGCCTAATCCTGGCTTAATCTAAGCCCTGTCTGTGAAACCAGGCCTGTCTTCTACCTTTCCTATACATTGAGGGACGGTAATCATGGTATTAACATTGACACATCATAATACAGTATAGCTAATGAATACCGTATTAACGTAAAATGGTATTTACATGGTACTTTAAAGAATATCATACTAGTTAATTTCCAAAGTACATGGTATAGGCAATCCAATGCAATTGTGCGTTTGGTTGTTCAAGGGCTTTCGATTACTGTTAGGCTGCATTCAAATCAAATATGCATACTTCCCTATATAAAGTAGGTAAAAAAATATGTGTGTGAAAAGAGTAGTGTATCAAATTCGTATTCATAAAACAGTAGGCAATGAGAAAATGTAACTAGTAACGTATATTGCGGTGATGTGTGTATGCAAATATTCATATTCAAATGAATTTATTCAATTTTATTATTTTTGTTGTTGTCTTTTATTCATTTCTCTTTTTTAATTTTTCCTTTTTATGAATCTAATGAATCTTTTATTTATGAATTCTAGTCATTGGTATCTATCAGTTTATTTTATAATACTTAATTGTTATATATTTCTTATGATGCATGATTATTCTATATTATTGATTTCTTTAATCTTTTACATATATTCTACTATATCTGATATGTTTGATCATTTTCAAATGTAAGATATTTTGTCTCTTCTGTTCTGTAAGATTGAGTGGATATTTTCCTTCGGAGTATGTACCTTGGTATCAAATTATGTTTCCATCTCTCAGACATGTTCTTTTAAAGGTGTTAAAACCACAATTGCTCATTAACTTATTCTGTGTGCCTTACAAGGAATATGATGATGACCTAATAAGACCTGTCAGGGTATATTTTATCCTGAGTGCATCATTAAATGGTTGCAAGAGAAGTAAAAAGAAATTAAATGGGTACTTTCCCCAGTCACTTCCTGTGTAGTCACAGCAAACTAAATGTTTAGTTTCAGATGACTCAGGGCTTCTTCTTCTGCTGCTTCTTCTCTTTTTCCTTTTCTTTCATTCTGCAAATATCTAATGGGCTACAGACTTTCTCTATCTTCACAAACTTCATCTGTTAGATACAATACTTTGGATATTATTGGTGTAACGACTGAGACAAAGAAATCAGACACAATTATGTGTTATATTTAACAAATAATCTTTAAAACTCACTCTGGGATCTATGGTCCCATCCCCCCAACAAGGGCAAGAAGGGTCTTGGTTACCATGACTAAGATCAGATAAGTTGGTTTTATTGCTGTTAAAAAAATGTGGTCATGTGGAAAAAGCAGAGGCCATAGGAAAGACCCACAGCCCTTAAAACAGACTTTCCTGCATTAATTTATGGACGAACTGATCTGTAAATGAGCATGCACCCCAGGACACTGTGTGAATGATTTACTGTCTTGTGTAGTGTCTTTTGATACTATTATGTCTCTGATACTATGTATTTTATGATAGAACCAACGGTCAATGTAACCCCACCTGTATCGTGTCTCCTATCTAATTAATCCTCATTTAATGACTCACACTTTAGTGTACATCACCTTCTCATAGAATGCAGTGTTTGCTTGTTATATCTATCTGAGTATAAATGAACACAAAAAACAAGGTCTATGTCTAACCACACTTGAGACAGAGCCATACATTTTCCGCTTAGAAATTCCCCCTTTCTCATTGGTCGAGCCAACCCTGTGAGATGGGACCTTTCTCAGACTTTAAATGGCCTCTACACAAGCTATTCCCTCTCTTGGCCTTCTCGGTACATTTGCATAGCTGTCCTGCATGGCCACACTAGGCCCCAGGGCAGCAGGCCTTGACCCACAACCAGCCATGTGCTCATTCAGGAGAGAGAGGACTCTCTCAACCAGAACATCAAAGGACAACATCAGGAGTGTGGCACAATGTCTTCATTCAATGCAGAAGAAGTCCATCGCAACTCCAACAATCAACTCTTCCGACTTCCTCCCTTCTCCTGTTTGCTCTGCGTGTCCTCTCCGGCCCAGCCACAATCGGCACTCCAGCCATAGGAACAGAGTCAAAACAGCAGCTTTGCTGTACCAACCTCTACACACTGACACAACACATCTGTTCTGTGTTTGTGCATTTCAGTTGCATTTGACTGGCCAAATAATCACAGTACATATTAAGCTTTTTTGTACTAAAATACAATCAAGAAAAGTAGAGATCGATGTAACAAAGTATTCCCCTGACACAATTTCCTTTCCCATCATGCCAGGATTGCTGTTCCGTGTTGTCAGTTGTAATTATCTTGTAGGCTTGCCCATTTTGTGGCAAGGCAGTGATATGCCAATACCTCTTGACTTTTTATTCTCTCAAAGGGAGCAGAGAAGAGCAACTGTTGCTTCTCGCTGAGAGTGGTTACCACTGGCAACCACAGACCATCTGCCAGCGTGCCGTGAATCTGTTGCCAGAGTAAAACAGAGTATGAATGGTTGTCTTTATGAGATGGTAGTGGGTGGATATGGAGTGTGCATGGCAGAGGACCATGTTTCATTGAGTCAAATCATGGCACAAAGCACAAAATGTTTTTAATGGCACTCAAATACACTAATGATAATGTAGGACTATGTCAGGCTAATCTGTGACATTGGTAATGCATGATGTACTTTTTATTTGGTTGGTTTGGGATTCCACGTCAAGTCTTTTAAAAATCCGCCTGTTTGACCTTGAAAACAGAATGAAGTGCAGAAAAGAAAGATTGAAATAAATTCTGAGCATTACTGAAATACTAGACGCATACAGACAGTAGGAGCTGAATCAATTCAGACTGAGGTAGTTTTTTTTATAATACACTTATATAAAATGTAGTACATTACATTACATTTATATAAACATAAAATTTCCATATTGAAAAAAAAAATCATAAGAAGAAATGTGAGAGACTTTGTATGAACAATGAACATTAAGAACAAAAGGTTTTTCAGCTCCATATCTCTGTGGGGGTTTTTTTTTATTACTAATGGTATTAGTGGATTAGTGCTCAATAATGCCTCCTAGAGGCCGGTGATATAGGCAAGCTATCACACACTGCAGATATTTAGTATAGGCCTAGCTTATTTGGTCTGGTGTGCAATTGATGTTGATGCAAAGCCTTGCAAAAAATCATGGCCAGCCAGAATCCTCTCTAGATGATTGTTGGTTTTATTACCCGCATAAATAATCACATCTGTGGCTCTGAAATGTATCAAATCAATTATGAAGCTAAAAGCAATCTGAAATTCAGATCAGCTTTTTAAATATAAATAAATACTTTTCCAACTGTCAATCCTGTCGAAGTTAGCTAGAAAATATTAAGTTTCTATTAAGTTATATTCTTCTTTTGCCTCCATTATAGTTCTGAACTGTTATTTTATTTTTTTATTTACTCATCTACTTTAATATTTTTTATAAGTTTATTTATTTTAATCTAATTTTAATTATTTATTTATATTCTTTAAAAAAATCAATTTTTTTCCATTTTTTTACAATTTCATCTTCTTTTTTTTTAACTCTTTTTCTTTAACCATTTCCACGGACACCCTAGCACTTCCTTGGGGTCCCTTGCACTATTAAAACATCTTGCAAGTTTCATAGCTTCCTCAAAACATCCTTTCTCATTATAAACAACGCATTTATTTAATCAAGCTCCAAAAACTACTTGTTTGGATATTGTGGGATTTGTTACGTCACATGGACAAATACATTTGCATAGACATTGACGAATAATAGTTATATTTCATCACTGCATAGCCCTCGCCACTGGCATTCAGTCGCTTAACAGCTGACATTTGCCTGCACTGGATGTGATGTGAGCGTGGCGTTGTGTCAAAAGCAAATAAAAAATATTATAATCACTGACGCTGTCTTCACTGGACAGTATACAGATGCACGTTCAGTTTCTGATATAATCCACGCACTTGAGTCTGTCGACAACAGGACAAATAGAAGAGTGAAAGAATGTTTGCGTTGACGCAGCCTGTTTAACCCTCTGGGGTCCTTCATTTCAGAGTCACACTCAGGACCTTCGGGTCCAAATGGGCCGGAAGGGTGGGATTAATATTTATTTTAAAAAAATCATCTTTTTTTTTTTTTACTTGTTTTTTATAATATTTTTTCTTTTCTTTTTTGGTGTTTTGAGATAATTTCAAAAATAAAAATGATTTATAATTAATATTAATGCAATAATTATGACCCATTTTTTCCCCATTGAATATAATAGAAATGTAAAAAATATTTTTTTATTTTTTTTTATTTTTTTTAAAGCTGTATTTCATTTTAGAGTCAAGCCTAGGCCTCATGAAAGCAATTTTTGAAATGAGATGGATGCCGTCTGGTGGACAAACTGAGCATTTTAAAAATTCAAAACCCATATGTAATCTGAATGTATTAGTGTGTATGTGTATAAAAGTGTGTTTGTGTGTGTGTGTGTGTGTGTGGATGTGTCTGTTTTGCACTCTTGATGTTTTATAGATTCACCCCTTCACTGTTTTCTGGATCGTGGCTGATTTGTAGTTTGTACGC